AATATTTTTTAGTAGTTAACCATGGAAGAAAAACAAACTCCTTAAACCGCCATATAGGGCTCTTGTATCTATTTATCTCTTTGTTCTTTCATTTGACAGTCTAAACTTTAGCCATACTAAATTTCAGTTCTTCTATTTGCCATGTCTCACATCTCAAAACTACACACCCAAAGCCCACTCTTGTCCATACCCCCAAAACCTACATTTGTACATATTCCCGTTATCCAATCTCCTCTTGTGTTTTCGAAGACCACATTCTTAAAGTATATGTACTCTCTGCTATGGTTTGGAGCTAAAATGTCCCCCAAAGTCTCATGTGTTCAGAGGTGGGGCTTTTGGAAGGTGACTGAATCACAAGGGCACTATATTTATCAATGGATTAATCCACTGATGAGTTCAGAGCTCAATGGGTTAATGGGAAGATAGAGCACCATTGAATGAGACAGGTCACCGGGGTGTGGCTTTGTGGAGTATACGTTGTCCCTAGCCCCTTTCCCCCTCTATTTCTACCCCCTGCTTGTGGCAGCCATGAGATGAGCAACTATGCTCCACCATACCTTTCTGCTATGACGTTCTTGGCATAGGCCCCGCAATGGAACTAGGCAACCATGACTTATTGTTAAGGTTTGGATCTAGAACGTTCCCCAGAAGTCTTGTATGTTCAGAGGTTAGGTTTTTGGATGATGATTGGATCATGGCAGGTGTCATATTCCAGTGAGGAGTTCACAGTTAAATGTACTGTCAGGTGACGAGGACTGGTTGGAAGAGGCAGGTCTCTGGGGGTGTGACCTAGAAGGGTTTATCTGCATCCTTGGCTCGATCCCACTTTCCCTCCTTCCCTCTCTTCTCCTCCCTCTTTCTCTCTGTCTCTGACCTTCCTTCCTAGCCATCATAACATGAGCAGTCTAGCAGGCCACTCTGCCATGCTGTTTCTGCCTTGGAGCCAGCCTACCATGGACTGAAAGTGTGAGCCAAAATAACCTCTGCTACTTTAAGTTGTGAGTGTTGGGTATCGTATCTCAGAGATAAGTGACTAAGACAGATTTTGGTACCAGAGAAGCGGGGTTGTTCCTGTGACTACACCTGACCATGTCATTTGGAACTGACTATTGGGATGACTTAGGAAAGGTGTAGTGATGCTGGCTAGAGAAGTCCTAAGCTGGATGAGAGATTCTGGTCAAAGATCAGAAGAATGTTCACAGAAATGCAGACAGTAAAGATAAGGCTTGGAGGTTTTAGTTGGGAACAAGCAGCCCATTGGCAGTTGGACTGAAGGCCATGTATGTTATGCTCTGGCAGAAAATTTGTCTACATTTTGCCCATATCCTGAGACTTCAAGGGAGACTGAGATTATGGGGAGCAGACTAATTAATTTGGTGGAGAAAATGTCAGTGTCCAGGGTGTGGCATGGGTACTGTTGACTGTTCTTTCGTCAGATGTACAGTGAATATCAGGAATAAACAGCAAAACTAGTGTGAAAAATCTAAAAAGTTTATTATTGCCAGAAAGAAAAAAACTGTGAAGTTGAGTCAAAGAAAGATTATGGTTCTGACAAGATTAGTGTCTTTTTTTAAAAAAAAGACAAGTACTTTGCTTCAAGAAAATGAAAAAGATGGCTTGAGGGCATCTCAGAAATTGTCCAGGCCCTATCTTTTCCAGGATGAAAGATATAAAGCTTTCATTTGAGGAGAGAACCCCTGAGCTCCCCATTTGAGAAGGACTTCTTAGGGAATTGGTTTACTGGGATTTATTTCACAGTGATCAGCTATCCAGGTACTCAGAGGTCTCTAGGGCAATGGTCAAGAGGGTCTGGCTCCTGCTTGAGTGGGGAGCAGACCTCGACATCATCCATGCGGTGCTGGCTTCACAGGTAGGCAGAATGTAAGTTATAAGGTCATGAAGGCTTCCACCAAGATTTCAGAAGGCCTGGGATGCCAAGCAGTGTGCCTCTGAAGGGGCAATTTATAAAGCTATGAGAGTAAAGCCAAAAGCACAGTGGTGAATCCAGGAAGCTGGAGATGCTAGGAACCTGGAATGTATGCTAAGGAATGAGGTGGACAGTCAGTGGGGCCACCCCTACGAGAGAGGCCACAGGAGCTGCAACAGTTGATACCAAAGGGGTGCAGCCACCCAAGCCCTTTGGAGCCCACATCTTGTCATAACTGCACTGGGTGTTGGACATGGAACTACAGGATATATCTGCCCTCCTGGGTTTTGGCCTCATCCCTTTTTATCCCATTATTTTTCTCTTTTGGAATGAAAATGTTTACTTTGAGCCATTGTATATCACAAGTATTTCACTTTCTTATTTTTATAGGGGTCCACAGATAGTTTGCCTTGATTATCAGAGGAGACATTTGACTTAGACTTTTTAGTATGTTGGAACTGTTAAGAACTCCTAGAGATGGATTAAATTCATTCTGCATAAAGAAACAGATGCGATCTTTTGAGGGCCAGAGGCAGATTATTAAGGTTTAAATCTAGAATTTTCCCCCAAAAGGCTCATGCATTTAGAGTTGGAGCTTTTAGAAGATGGATTATGGTGGCACTAGATTAATCCACTGATGAGTTACAGATAACTATGGTCTTAGAAAATTGGGATTGGTCAAAGATGTAGGTCACTGGTGTGTGTGTGCGTGCGTGTGCACATGTGTATGACCTGGAAGGGTTTTTCTTTCTCCTTGGCTCTCCTTTCTTTCTCTTCCTCCTGGATATTATGATATGAATAGCTTTTCATCTGCCATGCCATTTCTGCCCTGGCGCTGGCTGACCCTGGACTGCAACAGTAAGCCAACATAAACATTTCCTCCTTTAAATTGTGGATGTTGGTATTATGTCTCAGTGACAAAGTGACTAATACACTTACTAAATAAACCAAAGATTTATTTTGGCTTACCTCTTAAACTATGAGCCAAAGTAACTCTTTCTTCCTTTAAGGTATTTATTTTATCATAGCACATGCATACACACACACGCACACACACACACACACAAAAACTGATGGACACTCTCTCTTATATCAAATTCATTTTGCTTAAACGCTATTAGACCACATGCTTTAGTATCTTTGTCTTTAAGAACTCTTTATTTCGGTGGACATGGTGGCACATGCCTGTAATCCCAGCACTTGGGAGGCTGAGGCAGGAGGATCATTGCCAAATTCAAGACCAGCCTAGGCTATAAAGTGAGCTCAAGGCCAGGCTGAACTGCATAGCGAGACCCTGTCTCAAAAAAAAAAAAAAAGACTGTTTCTCTCATCTTACATCTTTCTCTAATCAGCTCTCCGTAGTAAAATATTATCTTGGGATATCTACAGTGCTATATGCACTGCTTCTCACCACATCTCTCTTCATTGTACTTGTCAAAGCACATAACTACTATGTGTTGACAAAATCCAGCATGCAGGTATCTTCATTTTAATTGACCTCTCTGTACCATTTAGTACCATCGACCCTGTTTCATTGTCTTGCTTTTTATATCACAATCCTGTTTGGAGTTTCCTCCTAATTCACTGGCTATTCCTCCCTCTGTTTTGCTTACTTTCTCCCTGCTTTAATCACTGGAATGTTCTCAATGAGGATACTTATTCTAGGTAGTTTTTTCCTACATGCTAGTGACTCGCAATTTTTAATTTCTTGTCTTTTGCTCTCTTCACAAAACTCAAGATTCTGAACTTACCCAATCAGCATTTAAAAATTAAGGTAAGCAAAATAAAACCCCTCCCCTCTTTCTTTGCCAGTCTTTTCCATTTCGCAAACGGCACAACCACCTATTCACACTCAAGCAAAAACCTAGAAGCTAGGAGCAACTCTTGCTGTTTCCTCACCCCCACATTCAAAATATCACAAAATCTGCAAGCTCTGCCTGCAAAATGTATGTCATGCGCTTCTACTTTTTGGTTACTTTATCTCAAACTTCTGTCATGGCCTCTTGAATTTCACCATTGTCTTCCGCCAGGAATCTTGCTCCCTGCCCCTGTGATCCATTTGCTGCGAAACAACCTTTTTTAAAAAAAGCTAAAGCAATCATATCACTCCCTTCGTCAAAATTCACTACTGGATTAACAATTTTTCACTTAGTCACTGCATTTACCGTTATGCAAAACTCCTTGTTCATATACTGCTTATCAGTTTATTTTCTATCTTCCCTAACTAGAATTTAAGCACCATGAGAACAGAGATCTTTTTAGTCTTTCTTGGCATTGTACTCAAAATACCTAAAACATTTGGAAAAGTACGATTTTCTAAAAATTTTCCACCAATGCCTGTTTCGAAGAACATCACTCAACTTCTGTATTTGACTAACATCTGCAGTGACCACCGCCAGACTTAGCTCTGGTCCAGTGAATGCCGCCGTGGATAGGCTTGGCTCCTTCACAAGCGCGTCCCTTCCTTCCATCAATCATAGGTACTGAGTGTATACTGTACTATTTTCAGGTACAGTTTACTTCTAGTGTTTAGTTTCTGTGGCGGTTCAGATCTGGGGTATGAATCCACCGCTAAACGTGCTGTTAGGCGATGCGGCCTGGTGGGAAGAGGCTGGGGACATGACCTGGGTTTATCTCCTCCCTTCTCTCTCTGCCCACAGGATGAGCATGAAAACAATCTACGAAAGGAGAAGCGCTATAAAATGGTACAGTACTCCTTCCTCTCTGCACCTGCCTGTCTGGTAGTGGGCAGGGGCTCACGACCGCGGAGCACCGAGAAACAGTAGTGCACACTCTGCAGCTCAAGGAGGGATACACACTAACGTCTCCTCCCCGCCCACAGTGACGGGGAAAGGAATTCCCTCGGCGACAGCCTGGGTGCCCTTCTCGCACTCTCACTAGCAGCAATCCTGACTGCGGCCCGTGGGCCAGCCCCCGCCAGGGCTCAGCCTGCCCCTTGCTGTCCCCCGGCCCGGTGTGGGTGTGAGGCGCCGACACCCTCGTGTGCCCCGCACAGACCCTGTGTGTACACCACCGGCGCTCAGGGAAGGACAGACCCGAGCCGCTGCCTCACTTGCACGTCCCGGACGGTGCGCGCGGGAAGCCCGGCAGGAAGGCAGAGGACGAGGGGCGTGCGACGGGCGGGGAGGAGGTGCTGGAGGCTGCAGGGAGGACGCGTGCCGAGCCTAGAAATCAAAGAAAGCGGGAGCACGTAGGACTCCCACAGCGACCCTCCGCGGCGCCCACAACCGACAGCAAGCCACGCGCTCCGCGGCGCGCCAGGGCGTCTGGGGCGGGGCTGCGCCACGGCGGGGAACCAATGGCGGTAGAGAGGCGGGGCGTCGGAGCGGGCCAATTATGGGAAAGGGGCGGATCAGGCGACCGGCGCAGTTTTGTTTAGTCGGTCGCTGTGCTGCGCGTGTAAGTGACGTCACTCTGCCGCATTTATAGGTGCGGTGGCACTGGGTTCTCCCGGTGGTTTGACTTTATTCGAACCATTTCTTCCAGTGTCTCTTCTGAATATCGACCTATCGGATTGTAAAAGCCTGCTGGATATTTTAACTAGGAAGCAATGCCTTGGGTTGCAGGTGTCGGAAGTAACTTCTCAAAACTCATGAGGTGTTTTCTTGAAATCAGTTTAAATACAGCCAGATAGTGGAAAATCAAGGTCTCCGAGTCAGGACTGCCGGGGTTCAGCGCTGCCGCTCAGTGTCCCTGGGACCTCGGCGAATGCAGGCTCCCAGAGCTGGTTCCTTCCTGCGAGAACGAAGGACACTTGCCAAGTTAACGCCACAGGGCTTGGTAGGAAGAAAACACTTGGTAGAGGGTTACCAGTATAAACCCTTTTATGTTTTGCTCATGAAGTCTTCTGTTCCAAGTTTCATAGGAGGCAAAGTAGAGCTGTTGCAGTTGAAGGTGGTTCCAAAGGTGTCCGTCAAGTTCCTCTCAAGGAATCCCCATGCTTTCTAAAACAGTACATGGAAAACAACTGTTTTTGGGAGTGTGGGGAATTGCTCAGACTGTTTCAAAGCTAAGGACACCTGAGGACGTGACCTTGCTTGTCAAGCGCAAGGCACAATGGGATACAATTATGTAACTATGACTTTGCACAGGTAAACATGCATGCGCTGCTTACAGCACTATGTAAGAATGTAAACATGAGATAACAACCTGTACAAGAATTATACAATAAAAACAGGCGGCTCTGGCGCTGCAGCTTTGCTTTGCTCCATGCTGCCTGCTGTTATTGATGTCTTGCATACGTGCATTCTTTAACCTTGGGACTTCCACTGCGAAAATCTCCCTTGGGCCCCCTGAGCAGGCCGACAAGGTACAAGCCCAAACTTCTTAGGAAGGCAAACTGCATTTTCCTGACGCTCAAAACAACTTTTACTTAAAAACCCTATGTTCCTTTTGCCTCAGTGTTTTATCTAAATTGATTTTGTCTGCTGAGGACGTTCTCTTTTCTCTTCTTCCAGTGTAAGGTCTGGTTGCTTTGGATATTAAATGTCCCCCAAAGCACATGTGCTACAAGCTCAGTCTCCAGCTTGTGGCACCTTCAAGAAGTAGTGCTTCGTGGAAGTTAGGTCACTAGGGGTGGGGACACGGGGACTCCAGCCCCTTTCCTCTGCTTTTGTTCCCCGGCCATGAGATTAGCAGCTTTGCTCCACTACACATTCCCTGTCATGATGTAATACCTTGCTGCAGGCCCCAAAACAACGGGACCAACTGACTATGGATTGAAACCATGAGCTGAAATAAGTATTTCCTCCTTAGAAGTTGATTGTCTTGGGTGTTTTGTGATAGCAACGTAAAGCTGACTTACCCAAGATCTGATTCAAATTACACCTCTTTCTTGAGTTTCCATAAGAACTCACTGTAACACCTTCCCACTTTCACCATGTTGTAGATATCTCAGCAAAGGAGAGAGGTTATTTGCTTTCTGGTTTTAGGAGAGTAGCTAGTGTCTTTGTGATAGGGTTTATAAAATGTTTTGTTCTCATTGGGAAAATCAGTTAGACCCTCCAGGGATACAGGGAAGAAGGACAAGGGTTCCAGCTGAGAAGGAGGACTTGCTAGGAATCCAGTGGCCTGTTTCAGAAGCAATGGAATACTGGAGAGTTAAGTGCTTTGGGGTCCCTGTAAGGAAGATGAAGCGTACATTCAAAAAAGTTTAGAAATTCTCACCAGGTCAGAGGGCTGAGGCTAGAATTAATTTGAGTTAGTCACTAAAAAAAAACGTGATGCCACTTGTTCCTAAAGTGGCAAGAAGCATTTTCCACCTGTTACATATTACTACATAAACGATTCATTTAGAAATAGGACATTCTCAACACTTAAAAAATTATGTCCACTTATTTAAAGACAACATAATGAAAATAACAGTGATTTTAAATAACTTTATACAGCTGATACCTTTTATATAAATAATAGCTATTTAAAATAAGTCAATTTGCAACAATGCCAAAAGCAAGAAACTTGAGTAACAAAGTCTTACTTATGGCAATCTATTGTTTTTACTATACCCGATATGATAGAAGTTATTTTAAAAATATCTTCCACATTAGTACCTTTGTACTTCTGAAAGGCCTTCATTAAACATACTTAGTCCTTGATCTGTTTGGTGTTTCAGTGCCTTCTTTCCTGGTCTTATATCTATTTGTCACTCTCAAGTGCCTGTCATTATGCTCCAGGCTTTATTGTTTTCCAACTCTTCTAATATGCCAGCCTTTCCCTGTGCTGTTCCCATCTTCACCTACTCCCTAATACCTACGCATGTATCCGGAGCCTCTCCACTTGAGGTCCAGTTCAAGTAACACCTTCTCTGAGAAGCCTTCCTCAGTTTCCCCACTGAGAACAAGTTTTGAATTATTCTGTGGCTTACAGCTCTTTGTACATATTTCATTGCCTTGTAAGGTTCCTGAAGTGAACTAGTATGTCCGATTCATATTTGTATTCTCCAAAGTGTCAGGCTCCCTCTAGAAACCAAGTTCCCTTAAAAGCAGAGCCCTTGGACAGCTTGTTCGTTGCTGTATTCCCTGGTGTTGCACACAATGCCTGGCACAGTGGCATGTAGTAAGTGTGTTTTCAGTGAGGTAATGAGTGCATTTTGAAATAGAAGTTCCACAAAGGCAGGAATTTTATTTATTAAAAATAAATACATGAATGAACACCTGATTGTGAAAGCTCAGCATTTACTGTATATAATAAAATATTCAAATTATGTATCTTGATAAAATTAAATATATTTATGTTGTCTTTCACTCAACTAATTCAGTAGATAATATAACTTCCTAAAAATAAGACATCCTCCAAAATGGTATGAGTAAAATTTAGAAGACTCAAACTGAAGAATATTTATATTAAAGCCAGTTTCAATTTTCTTCCTTGCCCTTTTTTGTGTTCTGTCTTCGACAATGAAAATGTATTATTTTATAATCAGAAAAATTATTTTTAAAATAATGTAACAGATGAGACTATTTGTAAACGAATGTATGACAGGAAATCTAGAGGACATCCAACTTCAGTCAAGGTTATTGAAGTTAATGCCAGAGAAAAATATTAGATTGTTGCAATAACAAAGAGCTGAAACTTAACTATTTGTCTGGAAACATAAACTCTCAGTAGAGAGGTGGACGTTACTGACTCTAGGAAAGAAGGTGTTTGAAGAGCAAGAATGCACAGTGTCAGTTTGCATTGTCTTTGGGAAAATGACACTCCTGTGAATTACAAACAATTATATTCTCCCATCTCTAATTCATGTGTTGAAGCCCTAACAATCCAACGTGATGGTATATGGATGGGATGTGAGGAGGTAATGCAGTTATAACAACCCAAGTAAGTAAACTGGACTAAGCAGACAAAGAATGGAACTGTTGTAAGGCAAGAAGTTACCTGAAACTAGATGTGGCCCCCCTCTCAGATTCAATAAATGTTTATTAAGTGCCTACTATGTTCTATACTCTAAAATGGTTCAAAGATGACTAAAACAAGTCTTCTAAACCCAAGGAACCAAGTTAATAGCAGACAAACATATAAACAACCTGAAAAGGTCAGATAGATGTGTTCTGGTGGACTGGAGATCAAAGGAATTGTTCTTATCCCTGACTGGTGGGGCTAAGTTTGGTTGGTCAGTTTGTGAACAAACTAACTCTGATTTCACCAGCTGAGTCACTGAGAGAAGAGTTGTGGCTTTTGGGCTGGAGATGTAGCTCAGCTGTAGCTCAGTGGTACAGAGCTTGCCTGGAACATGTAAGACTCTAGGTTTGACCCCCTGGCACCTTAAAAAAAAATGAAGAAACAGAAGCAAAAAGAAAAGCTATGACTTTAAATGTGGTGATAAAACCAAGGCTTCACGCAGGGAGCCCATTGGCCTTTTCATTCTGACTTTAATATTACCTAGCAATAAATAAATTCCTCCCAAGACTTTTCAGTCATAAGCATAAGGTTTCAGAGATCATGGAAGAGATGGAAACTTAGATGGTGGCTGCCACAGTGATCACAAATCACGAAACTGATGAAAGTTAACGTAAGTTTAAGCAAGCTACTGGGCAGCTGAAGAGATACTGGAATTGCTGTTTCCCTTGCTAACTTTGAATTGTAGGTATGTCCTTATACGAATTAACCCATTTATGCCAAACACTGAAATTTTTCCAATGTTTGTATGAAATTCATATATGTTACCCAGAAAAATTCAAGGAACAAGAATTTGAAAAGAACACATTTCATTATGTTCCATTGTTATGGGCATCCCCAAAACGGATCACTAAACATTGAAGGGTAACAATATAAAATGAAGAAGTGTTTGGAAAAAGAAGATAGATCAGACATAGAATACAACACACAGTGTGCTAAGGACAAGGGCTCAAACTGCTGCATAAAGATATAGGCACACTTTTCACTCTATCATAGTTTAAACATTACACATTTCAAAATACATCTTGCTAGAATTAGCCTGTGGTAACAGCTTTCTGATCATTATGTTCAGCATTTTGCTCTTTTCACCTCTAAAGCTGCACAGAAGTCTGTTGAGGAACTTCGTCTTCATTTTGATGTTCAAGCTTCTGGAGAAACCCGGGGCCCAGCAAACCAATAAGTAGGGCTCCAATGGGGGCTGTGATAAGAATGGCCAAAAAGGCCACTGTCAACACATCCATTCCATAGCGTTCTAACTGCTCCTCTCCATGGGACCGTGCTGTGTCCAAAGCCACCGATCCTATTGCAGCCTAAAGTTGAAGATAAGAGAAGCACACATTTGCAAAAAATAATCTGCTGTTTCTTTAGCCTAAGAAAGTTGTGTTAGTCTTCTTTCAAAGTGTACTGCAGTTGGCTTTGACTACTTCTTCCTGCCCTTGCATGGGGACAAACTGATGACACATATGTACCTATTTGTAAGGTTCTTAAGTATCAGGCACATACATCTCAAGATGTAAGGAAAATACAGGTGTCAATGTTAATCAAAAGCATGTATAGCATAAGTTCTACATACTAAATGTTTTCTTGTTCTTTCTATTTTTGTCTTTAAGAATGTGGAATTAAGAAAAAAAAAGAGCTAAGCATGGTGCATGCCTACAATCCTACCACTCTGTAAACTTTTTGTTTGTTTGTTTGGCACCGGGAATTGAACTCATGACCTCATGCTTGCTGGGCAGGTGCTGTACCGCTGAGCTAAATCCCCAGCCCAATCCTACCACTCTGGAAGACTGAGGCAGGAGGACTGGAAGTTGAAGCCCAGCCTGGGCAGCTTGGTAAGATCCTGTCTCAAAAACAAACAACAAACAAACTAAAAAGAGATGAGATTGTAGCTCAGTGAGAAAGCCCTGGGTTCATTACCCAGTACTACACTGGGGAGGGGGAGAGATAGAGATAGAGAGAGAGAGAGACAGAGAGAGGAGAGAGAGAGAATTTATTGGATTCTAATGTGTTATTTTTGAGCTTAAACTAACTTTGAAACAACATGAACCATGAAAGTGTTCATGTCTGAAACAAGATGTTAATATAGTTCGGTGTTTAGATAACTCTGGCTCCAAAGTTGGTAGTATGTTTTATTTACAATGTACTACTGGAAAGTTTTATGAAAATTCTCATTTTTTTCAGAGGTAAAATGTAACGTTCTGAGAGCACATAGGGAACAGTCTATTAGTCAATGTGATTATCTCAGAACAGAGCAACATTTGCCTCTAAGATGATGAAGCTGAAGGGGAAAAACTGCGCATCAGACAGCATGGCAGAGACTGACAGCTGCCCACAAACATCTTAAGTCCCATGTCTTTCTACAAGAAGGCTGCCGAGTTGTAGCTGGTCACACTGCTGTGCGCAAAACTTCCATTTCCCCAGCCCTTTGGCCACTAGATGTCGCTGTTCATCGAAATTGTGGCCACTAAGAGGTGCGTGCGGGGGATCAGAGCCACCCGTAGGTGCTCCCGGGAAGGAACGGCTGCGTTTTCCGTGAGGCTCCCTGTTCCAAACCCCGGGCTGCATGTGGCGACTATGACTCGTGGGTGGGCGGCATCTGCTGAGGATGGCAATCACCAGGCCTCTGATGGAAAGGCGGACAGTGATCTCTCGTGCAGTCCCTGCGCCGAGGCTCTGTGTTACTGTGGGGTTCCCTGTGCCAGAACTAACCTGACAGTTTATGAGTTCCTTGCAAGAACTTCACATATTACACTACAGTGTATGTTTCTCGTTCAGTTCTCTGCGTCTGTGTGCGTGTGTGTGTGCACGCGCATGTACCTACCTTTTGGGATTTGTATGTATGCCATACTGCGATTTAAAATAGATTTCTTATAACGGAAGATCACGGGAAAGGAACTTTTAAACACTAATACAGAGTGAATCTCTATATGAAAGTCTTGTTTCTTGTGTAAGATCCACAGAAGTAAACAGAAGATTCTATACGATCCAGTCAGCCCTGCATGTCCCTGCTCTCCATCTATAAATTTAACCAACTACAGACTGAAAGTATTAAATTAAGTTGCATCTGTACTGAATACGTACAGACTTTTTCCTTGATGTTATTCACCAATGAGGTAACAGCTATTCACATAGTACTTACACTGTAGTAGGCTTTATGAGTAATCTAGAGATGATTTCGAGGCCAGGAGAGGATGTGCATAACTTACATACTCGGGGATGTGGCAGAGTGGGCCAGTGGATACCCCAGAGGGTACCGAGGGATGCCTTCTACAACACACACAGAATCCAACACATCCTCGGTAATTTCTCCATATTTTAAAATACTGCTTTGATGGTAGGAGGATGGTATCTTTGAAGTAGGAGCGTCTAGAAACACATCTTCCATACGCAGAATCACTATTTTGATATTTACCTACTGATGTTACTATAAATAGTGTTAACCACTATGTAGCAGTCTGGTGGACAAAAAGAAAAAACCCTGGGATAAAGCCCAAGCCCAAACCACATACAGTCTGGAAAATAATTACAGAACATACGCATCTTTCAAAGCCTTCTAAATTAAGAACATCTGATTTTCACTGCATGAAAATAAGTCTGCGAATATCAATAAACTGCAAATTAATCAGACAGAATAGTTAAGTCTCTCGTAAGTAATCCCAAATATACAATACTATGTATTTACTATATAAGTCATTGCATACTTGCAACACGTTATAATTATACAATTCTAATTTAATTAACAATTACAGGTATTCTAACAAAGGCACAATCAACATCTGAAGCACGGATCCATAAGTGCTCTCTTTGTTATCTGTTCATTAGAGTACACAGATTTTTGGGTCAAGAGAGTGAGACATTTCTTAGGAGTTTGAGCCAGTTGTGAATAATAATAGCAATTAACAATCTTGAAAATCAAAATCAATACACTAGTCCCCCTTATCCTTGGGGATGTGTCCCAAGATTCCCAGTGCGCCTATGAAACAGACAGTAGCAAAGAATATCTATCTAACTATCTATCTATCTATCTATCTATCTATCTATCTATCCATCTTTCTATCTATATCTATATCTATCTATCTATCTATCTATCATCTATCTATCTATCTATCTATCTATGATTTGCTACATGTTTTTCCCTTATTAAGCTAAGAGTTTGCACCTTTTAACCTACAGGAAGCAACTGATGTCTCCTCTTTGGCATATGCAAATCACAGGCACCGCCATGCCCCATGCTCTGGGCCATTATTGTGTAAAACAAGGATCACCTGAACACAGCCCTGCCACACTGCAACAGGTGACTTGATACCTGAGACTAACAGGTGTGCACAGCATGGACGTGCCAGACAAAGGGAAGATTTGTGTCCCCAGGCGGACACTGCAGGATGGAGTAGGACAGTGTAATGTTTCATCCTGCTCTTCAAACAGCAAGCAGCGTGAAACTTATGAACTGCTTCCTTCTGGAATTTTCCACTTAGTATTGTTGGATTGTGACCAGACACGGGGAACACACAAGCCACAGAAAGCGAAACTGTGGATAAAGGAGGACTATTGTAAAACATTTACTGAGTTTTTTCAATAAATCTTTTCTTCATTGTGTATCCTGGAGTCAACAGTAATACTGACATGGAAGTACTTCCAAACATCAGAATAGGCGATGCCATTTCTGTTGTACTCTCTTTTGGAAGATATTGAAATAAAAAGAGTTCATATTGCTTTAATTAAAGAGTTCCGAATAAATAAAAATTCAAACAAATCCCTCCTGTTGCTACTGCTTTTTACTCATGCAGGGGTTTACAGGACTTATTCTGATGGTGTAAAGGTATTTTAATGAGTCGTAACATTTTAAAACAAATATACTAAAAGCAAGGTTTTCATTTTGGCCTCTCTCATGCTAGGTGTAATTGTATCACTGAACACCTTCCCCAGACTTCTATGTTATTTTTTGATATTTTAAAAACTTTGAGACAGGGTCTCAGTCAGTTGTTTAGGCTGGCCCAGACTTTCAACCGTCCTGGCTTCAGCCTCCCACGTAGCTGCAGAGTGCAGGTGTGCGCCACCTCACCTGGCCCCAGATCAGACTTTTAAAGAGTAGATTCACGTAACTCTTTATAAAGCCCACTGGAATTACTTATTGTCACTACATTGCAATAAGCCTTTTTATTCACTGTTTTAAGGGATCATACAGAATCAGCAGTTGAAATGGTAAGCTATCTTGCCCATCATTACCTGGACTGTTGCCTTCGGAAGCCAAGCAAAAGAAATAAATAACTTTTCCTTTATGTTAAAACCAGCAAAACACACCATGAGAAATGTGGTCAAAATTCGTATGAGCACTGCAATGCACAAGGTGGCAACACAGAAGCCTGGAAGAAAGATTTGATTTTTAGAAATAATGAAATACTAGTGGAGACATTACAAATCATGTATAACTACTGATCCAAAATACTACCAATAGGAATAATGTAAAACCATTAAAACATTAAAATATGAAAATGTTTAGTCATGACTTATCAAAAAATCAGTATTAAGCATCAATTTGTTTAAAATGTTTTCTCTAGATTAAACCCAGAAATTAAACATTTGAATTCTTACAAAGGAGATTTAAATGTTTTATCCCTTATACTATACAGCAAGATCCACGCTTTCTTCCATGTGCTTACTTAATAAGAAGCAATTAATATGTGCAATAAGCTTTAAACCCGGTACCAGTATATAAAAATGTAAAACATAGTGTTTCCTTCTCTGCAGTTGTAAATTGGAGGGAGGCAGAAGCAGGTATACTGTGTGGTGAGTGAAGCTTGTGCATGAGAATAGAAGAGGCAAAACTATTTTGCCAAAGTAGACGAGCATCTTTTGCAGAAGGAAGGACTAGAGGTGGCATTTGTACTTATCAGACACTATGGGGTGGGGAGCATGGCAATCAGAAAGGGCTTGGACTGCTACCATCTTAAACACAGAGCCACAAAATCCTTCCATGAAGGGACACAGAGCAGCCTCACAACAGACTCTCCCACACTGTGTGTCTGGAGTTCAGAAGGGATAAACCAGCTTCTCAATGTCGAAGTGTAGCTACTGCAGGGGTATCTGCGATGAATCTGCAATGTGGCAGTTTATGTGGAAACTTCTGGAAAGTTTCTGTGGTTTTGTTGAAGAGTGCTTCGCCAAGTTGGGGTGTTCAGAAGCTTCTGTTGCCTGCTGGATGGGACACAAGAGAGTTGCTTTGGTACTATGCAGTTTGTACTTGATGTCTCTGGTGCAGGTGAGGCCAAAGGGGTGACACACAGGGATACCACGGACAGCGCTGGAAACAGCGACAAGGAGCAGCATTTGAGCTACGTTTGGTGTGGAGGAGACAAAGGGCTCCACAACACAGCAGGATTCAGTGAAGAGTGTTTTAAAGATGCAGTAACACCAAATGTTGCTAAGAGATGAAATAAAACAAAGACTGGATTCATTGAAATATCTTGGGAGCGCATGGACTGAGGAAAAGAACCGGTGCTTAAGTCGAAAGGTGAAATGGAGCTGTTTAGCTATTGGTTTTTTTTCTTTTTTTTCTTTAATTTGGGAAGAAAGAAGAAAGTGCAGTAGGAAAGGGGTAAAGGGAAATGGAGAAAGTACATCTATTATCTCTCCTATTTTAACATACGTTATTTTACATTGTGGTATGATACATATTTACCATCCTAACCATTCTTACGTGTACAGTTCAGTAGCATTAAGTATATTCATACTATTGTACAACTAATCTTCAGAACATTTTCTCCTTGAAAAACTTAAATGCCCTTCTCGTCTGAGATGAATACACACTTCTCACATGAAGAAATACAAATGGCAAATAAATACATCAAAAAATGTTCAATGTCATTAGTCATTTGAGATGCAAATTAAAACACCACTGAGATTCCATCTCACCCCAGAAAGAATGGCTATCATCAAGAAATCATCCCATAAAAAATTCTGGAGGGGATGTGGGGAAAAAGGAATTCTTCACTGTTGGTGGGAGTGTAGACTGGTGCAACCACTATGGAAATCAGTCTGGAGATTCCTCAGTAAACTATGACTAGAGGTCCCATTCAACCCAGCTATTTCCTTCCTGGGTATTTTTCCAGAAGAACAGAAAACATCACAGCGATATATGTGCACCCATGTTTATAGCAGCACAATTTGTAATAGTTAAATCTTGGAAACAACTCAAATGTCCATCAACTGAGGAATGGATAAAAAAGATGTGGTATTTTTATACAATGAAGTATTACTCAGTTATAAAGAAAGATAAACTAGAGGCTTTTATGGGTAAATGGATGCAACTAGAAACCATACTCATTAGTGAAATAAATCCGATTCACATGTGTAAACATCATATTTCCTCCCTACTATAAGAACCTGAAAGAGTAAATGAAATCTGAAAGGTACAAGAGATATTGTGAAAGGGAAAAGAAACTGCTCAGGTAGGAAGGGGAAACTGGGATGAAGGAGGGGAGAGGAAAAAGAAAGAAGGAAGACGAAAAAAATATGTGTGTGTATATATATATATATATATATATATATATATATATATATATATATATACACCCACACACACCCACACACAGGATAGCCAGGATAATTGTACTCCTAATATCTGTTGGTTTATTGAAAGGAATGGTTAATGTGTAATTGTTTGATCAATTTTGCATGCCTGTATCTGGTTATATGTGCAACCATTTTGAAGTTGACATTATCTAATATAACAACCAATATTAATATCCTATCACCATGTTTTGCAATTCTGTATCATTTTTATTGCTCTCTCTGCTGTTTTGTTTATGTATTTGTTTTTGTTATTTTGGGTTTTTTAATGAAAAACCAAATTTATATGTATATATAAGGATAGCTGGAATAGGTGTATTGCTGATGTCTGTGGTTTATTGAAAGGAACAGTCAATGCTTCAAATTTTCTTTTTTCTTGACCAATTTTGCACACTTGAGTTTGGTAATCAGAATGACTGGTCTGAAAACAATATGCAGTATAAGAACCATTGTTGAACTCTTACCATCTTGTACGGTGAAACTCTGCATCGTTTCCAAGGTTTTTTTTTAATTTTTATTTATTTATTTTTGGTTTTTACTTGTCACTGTCTTGGATTGTTAGGTTAAGCTTGCATTCTCATGTCTAGTGGACCGAGCAACTTCACTGAAGATAACAGTATGTGATCTGTTATCACTGTAAATTTGTATCATTTTGTTTTGAGGTCATGTATCATTTTGGTTGTTTTTGTGTTGTTTTGATTTTGTCTTCATTGTTGTTTTGTCAGTTTTTAAAATTTTAAAATAAAAGAAAGCCTTAAATGCCCTTCTCGTTAAACAATTATCCATTCCCCCTGCCCCAGTGCCTGAGAAGCACAGTTATACTCTGTGTCTATGAACTCAGCTGCTCTGGGAACACCCTGGAAGCGGCATCATGCAGGGTTAGTGCTTTTGTGTCTGGCTTATCTCACGTAGCATGAAGCACTCGAGGTCCGTCAGTGTTCCAGCATGTGTCCAAATGGAAGGATGCCTTCTTTAGGATAAGAGATTAAAAGCATTTAAATTCTAAAGAGGAAACAACTAAAAGGATGTTTGGATGTGGAGGAGGAAAAGGGAAGAATCTATATTTGTAACTGAAGGAGGTAGCAAGAGATGGGACTCTCACATGGGGTAAGGACACTGCGATGGAAGAAGAGGAGAAAGGAATGGATACAGGTACACGAGTCAACAGAAGCGCAGTGTTGAGAATCAAGACAGTGTTCCTCTGACGGCTTTTGAGTGTATGAGGGACTAGAAGAAGAAAAAACAAACATTTCTACTCCGGGTGTATGTATTACAGAACTAACAAATTATCTTCAAAAATTCTGGGCCATGATCAGAATAAGGCTTCATGAACATTCTTATCCTTAGGGAAAAATAAAGGGTTAAATAGTCACTGTTTTAGGTAAGCAAGCATTACTGTCTAACTAACCACTTTAAAGTCTTAGGTCATAATTAACTTTTTATAGAAGTGAAACAATAGGAACCCCAAACATAGAACTACTGACGATATCTCAACTGAATATATATATATATATATATATATATATATATATATATAGAGAGAGAGAGAGAGAGAGAGAGAGAGAGAGAGAGAGATCAGATTTATCAAAAAAACCACTTTGAAATTCTTACCAACAGCTTCTGGTCTGAGAGATGCAACAGATACCTCTGCTCCAATCAGGCCAAAAAGAAGTGGCTGGAAAATGTTCCAGGCGATGGCAATTATCTTTTCAACCTCACCCTAAGAGAAAAGCAGAACACATACAGACATTTTTATTATGGTAAATGACAAACTTTAAGAATCTTACTAATTTGAAATCTAAGTTATTTGATCTGAGGACACAGCTTTCTGACATGTGTGAAGGAAAATATTCAGAAAAAGGAGGCCCCGACAGGGCTGCAGCTTGAGGCAGAGTGCTTGCCTTCTGTGTGCAAGGCCCTGGGTTTCATCACTGGGACTCAGGAAAACAAGGAAGGAAAAGAAGGAAGCCAGGGAGAAAGGTGCCTATATTCTACCACAGGGCAGCCCGCCCGCCAGAGAGTCACAGTGTGGCCCAGGGGAGGGGAGATCCACAGGGTCTTTCCCTGTGACCCTGCCCAATCAGTGCAAAAGATTAGGAACTGCTGGTCCGAAATGTTTGAGTCAAAGTGTGGTGACTTCTCATCCAAAGAACGAGTGAAAGCAATACAAATCAGTATTGAGTGTGGTCGCCAGACTGGCAGCATCAGGATTGTCAGGAAATTCATTGGAAGCACAAATTCTCAAGTCCCAGTGAAGTCTGCCTAAATCAGAAACTGGGGTATAGAGTCCAGCAAACGTAATTTCAGCCTTCCAGATAATTCTGAATCATTTCAAAGTCTGGGAAACATCATTCTGAGCTGATGAAGTACTTCATGTATTACTGGTGGAAAAGTAGACATATACAATTCTAGAAAGCAGTTTGATACTATGCATCAAAGCCCTCAAAATGATTATATTACTGAACACCCCCCCCCAAATTTCAGGAACCTACCATAAGGAAATGATCACAAACTTTCAGCTTGATTTAAATAGCACAATATGGAATGGAACAACAAATATGGTACTCCATGCATGTTCACATATCCATGTGTGTGTAGATAAAGAGATAAAACGCATAGGAGAGCAACTGCTGCTACGAATGGAAGAAAGATGCAGTTTTCTTCTGGGTGGTGGATTACACTGCACACCTGTGTAGGAGCTGGGCCGCAGGCAGCTCAGGCCAAGTCATGGCGAATGCAGACAAGGAGAGTGATGGTCTGGCTGTTACAGTCTCCCTGTGAGACCCGCATCCTAGTTTTCCTGCAGCCTGATGTGGTGAGAAGGAGCTGGCCCCTCCCTATTTCCCCTTCCTTTAGGAAGCTCAAGTTTCTTTCCTTGGAAGAGGCCTCAAGCTCCCTGGGTTTCCCAGGGGCTGAAGCCCCTCTTGGACACCATCCCAAATCCTGTGGCTCATCTGGGGCTTACTCTTTCCTAGCTCATTACTTACGAGTTTAGAGGCTTAATTTTGAATTACAAGGTTTAGAATCACAATGTTTATAAAGCACTTGGTATGTGTCAATGAAATACATATAAAAAAATGAAACGTGTCCTGCATAATAATGCTACTATCATAGGGTAGTACAAGTCACTTTTGGAGTCAGATCAATCTGACTGAAAAGTATTTTAAAAGAAAATAAAAATAAATAAATAGAGGATATCGGGATATGAGTGTGATATAAACTTAGGACAAATATGATCGTGAATCACCTCATTTTATATAAGTACTGCGCTGACCAATTGCACCACTGGGCTTTAATCATCTCATTTTAGAGGAGGGATGCCTTAGTAGAGGCTGCTGAAGGAAAGTGGAATTTGTGTCACAGTGTAATTGATGTAAACGCTATTTGTCTTGGCATAAAACCAGAACAAACTAAATGTCCATTAGCAGGAGTTTGGCTACCTACAGTGTGGCCCCACTGCAGTGCGACAGTCTGCAGCCCTGGCCACCGTGTAGATGAGGCCCTCAACTCCAGACTGACAAGAGACCGGGAAGATATAGGTACGTGCATTGGGGAACATCTGTGTATGTGCAGAAAACACCTCCCACGGTAAAAATGTGATTAAGGGTTGGCACCTGCACATAAAAGATTAGTCATAAAAACATCAGAGTAGAAGTTGAGCTGAAAGTCACCTTTTCGTCGCTCCATCCCAAGCCTGCCAGGAAGGCAGTGACCAGCGTGCAGAGCCCACCTGAGCCCGGGACACCGAAGCGCACGCTGCTGAACACGGCCAGCACGGACAGGCCCAGCAGCAGGGAGGCACGGGTCAGCGTCAGGGCGGCCTGTGGGACAGAGGGACAGCACATGAGGCATCTGCTATGATGGGCTGCCCAATGCAGGGTTCAGAGGAAAACGAAAATGTCCCTCGTGAGCATGAGCACAGCAGCTACTTCCTCTTCCTTCAAAGAGCAGAGGTATGTGCATGCAAACCTAGCCCTGCTGTAGGAAGCCTGTTCTCCGCCTCTGCAGTTAGTGCAGACTTAGCCTGGGGGAGCAGCAGAGAGGGCAGGGTTACAAGGCCAGCCTTTCAGCATTCTTGCTTCGCCTCTCCAAGCTGTGACCTCCTCTCTCTGAAAGGACTTAGGCCACAGGGTTTGGTGAAGGTTAAAGCTGTGTCACTAAGCAGGTGTGGCGGTGCGCCTGGCATCCCAGCACTCTGGGAGGCTGAGGGAGGAGAATGACAAGTTCCAGCTGAGCCTGTACAACTTCGTGACCCTGTCTCAAAATTCTAAAAAATCTTAGAAAAGCCTGGGGATGTAGCTCAGTGCAAAGTCTCTGGGTATAATTTCCAGTACTCCTCTCCCAAAAGAAAGAAAAATATATCTATTCTTTGCAGACACCTGGTCTTTCTCTCTTTTGACACCTGGTCTTTCTTTCCAAGTTCTTGAATACCAGGAAAGTTTTTAAGAGGTTAGAGCAGTTGTTTGCTGTTGTCCTATCGCCTAGGCCCTGTCCTTCCCTTTTGACTTTTCCCTCTTAAATCCCTGATCGTGGAAGTAGCCTCAACAGTGCCTGCCTTGGGGGCACTCAGTCCAGGGTGAATCACCTCCCTCCCTGCAGCCTTGCTGCTTTCTAGCCAGTGACTGTGCAAGCCCCTTGTCCCATGAGCCTAAGTTTCCCTGTGGGTTCCAGGGTGATGGGAACAGTAGATTGTGTGTGGATTGCACCAGACAGACTTCCCATGGGACATTCAGCGGTGGTGGAAACACCTGTCCGCTGCTGCTACATCAGCTGGTGGCTGGCGACTGAGCAGAGGGCCGCCGTTTAGCAGTAAGAAACATAACTGAGCTATTGTATTTCTGTCTGTTATACTGTATAATTAGAGTAATCCTATAATTTTTTCCTTCTTTCTTCCTTTTTTTTTGATACAGGGTTTCCTTATATACACAGTCCAACCTGGCCTTGAACTTGCTTTGTAGTCTAAGCAGGCCTTGAATTTGTGATCCTCCTGCCTCAGCCTCCTAAGAGCTCCCATGTACCACCAAGCCTGGCTCTATAATTTTCTTTTACACATTCATAAAATCTTTTCAGATGTTTTTACTTGGAGGGTTTTGAAGCACAATAAAAATTCAAATCAACATATAGTTTGCTAATAGAAATGTTAAAAGTTCTTTAGTTAAGTTTTTAATGGCATTCAAAATGTCCTGAAATTTCAGAATAATACCAGTTTTACCAAAAGAAAACATTTTCATGTGTTTATCTACCTTGAAAGACTTAGCAGAGTAAAGGAAAATAAAACTTTGCTTTTCATTACAAGATCATTGTGTACCATAAAGAACCTGGCTTTCCCTATAGAGAAACATTTTGCTATATTATAATGAAATGTTAAGATTTATCCATTTGATAATATTAAAATCTAACAAAAACAAAGGCCAAAAGCCATATCCCTTAATTCAGCTGAGTATTATGAAATTTTAAAAAACTTGCATAGCCTATTACTTTGGAATTAATATTATTTGTTTTAGAATGAAATATGAAATGTTCAGAATGGAAATTAGAGATAATAATACCAGGATTGCACTAAAATCTTATATACTTAGCCCTATGCATAAATCTCATAAATAATACTGATATAGCAGTGAGCAATTTTAAAACAGGGACTCATTCTCCAAACACATTCTTCATATCCAGCTTTGAGGGACGTGTTCTAGAATGTTCTTCCAGTGACATTCTAGAGCATGACATTCCCACAGATGACTTCCTTCACCTGGTCATGGCTTGGAAAGTACCGAATAAAAAATCCAAGAAGAACTCCAGCTGCCACACCAATCACCACCTCCAGAATACCTTTGAGGACATTAAACATGGTGGAGCCTGGAAAACATACCCAAACAAAACTTCAGACAGAATCGTACACCCATTAACTTGCAAGCATTGGTCTGTAGTCATCAGCATGAAGAACCTAAGTATGTGAAAGGCTGTCCTCATGAGCATCTTCTCATTTCCACAGCCGTAAATATAAGTGACTTAGCCGGGTATGGTGGCACCCGCATGTATTACCAGCACTTGGGAGGCTGAGGCAGGAGGATCACTTCAAATTGGAGGCCACTCTGGGCTACATAGTAATTCAACTATGGCCAACCTGAACTACATATTGAGACCCTGTCTCAAAAAAAAAAAGGTAATTTAAAATGTCTAATGAAATGGGCATTTCTTACAAGAAGAGTACAGTGGTTCCTTGGTTCACAAACTTAATTGTTTCCACAACTCTGGCTGCAAAGTGAATTGGATAAGAGCCAAAACAAATTTCCTTAAGGTCAACATTAAACCTGACTATTGACATTTGTTCTACTATTATATACGAGGTTAGTAGATAGATCTAGCTAAGTTTTCAAATTACCATTTAAGAGCTTGTTTTTGTACAAAGTTATAAATAAACATTGACTTTAATAGCTCTGATATGTACAAAATAAAGTAATTTGAGAATCTGGCAATGAAAATTAAGAATCTTCCTATTCCTTCTTAAAGGTCTATTATAACAGTAAATCTAAAAAAATACTTTTGAAATGTCTCTGGATGCTCCTCTGTTTGTTGCTTAACTCTTTTGAAATATTATAACCCTAAGGGAGGCCCATATTGTCCTTTGCACCACACAAGATTAAGGAAACTTTAATTTAAAAAAATTTCTGAGCACGTGTACTGAAAATTCCACTGAAATTGCTTCCCTGAAGAAAGCCATTCTTCAAGATGGCCCTGAGGGAAAAGGTACTCCCGTTACTGTGGTTTCTCACTGTTACGGCAATTACCCCTTTATTTAAAATGACTGCTTGGAGTAATTTTTCTTAGCTAGCATTGCTCTATTAGGTAAATGGTGCTACTGTCAAAAGCACTGAGCTGTGATAGGAGCTTTCCACTCAGCTAGTGAACAGAAGTAGCTAATTAGTTCCAATTTCTTGCTTGATGTGGTTGTTTGTAAAACCTCTTGAGTTCCACTCTTAAAAATTCTAATTGAGTGAAGCCAGCAGGGCTCAGGTCCACAAGGTCTCAGGACAAGCAAGGTGAGGAGACAGAGCCCACCAGGCAGGTTCTTCAAGTTGTCACCTTCCGAGCGCATTGGTTTCCATTCTCAAAGGTTCTGATTTCATTGGTGGAAGGGATGTGTACATTTTTCTTAACTCCCCAGGTAATTCTAACGTGCAGCTAAGACTGAGACCCACTGTTTCACACATGTATATGTCAGAACACAGTGAGAGAACAAGTTTACACAGGTTCCATAGCATTAAAAGGAACACATGTGTGGTGACTGGACTCAGTAGGTAAACCCGGAATCTTTGCTAGTTCCTAGACTAGAAAGTGACACGATGAAAACTGCTTTGGGAAGACAAATTTCCCAGGGCCTGGGTGGAGGGCACCTGCTGGAGCCAAGTGGTGGGATGAGACCACTTCCTCAGCAAACCAGTGTGGAATTAGCACGTAGGAGCCCACATTTAGAAGAGGGCTGGCAGGAATGGGGGAGTAGGGACTTCCCCGGACACTGTGCTTCCAAGGAAGAATCTAAGGCTGAACTCAGGCTACAATTACACTCTGTCAATAACAAGAAGTGCGAAGTTTATTTCCCAGTTTTGGATGAAAGATAAAGGAACAAAGTGAAATTGGTGCTGTGCCAAGGAACAATAAAGGCATGGAATCTCTTCTCAGCCTTTTGCCCATATCTGCTTAACAAAGGTATTGAAGCATGGTGTGTGTGCCTGAGTGTGGGGTGCTGGGAGGGTGTGCCTTAAATTCCTTTTCTATTACTACTTGCAAAACACACAAATCAGAACCTTACTGAGCAATGATAAGGCACCCATTAAACATCACAGCTGTTCTTGCCCATCAAATATTGACAAGGAGAGAGCACAAACATTCCTGTTTTAGAAGCGCGCTGCTCCTCCCAGCAGGGCTGCTCTCTGTACTGCGTGCCCACTGAGAAGCCCACTCGTCCTTTGTCTGAAGTCTTCATGGTTAAACTTGCCCAGATCTCTGCAAACCACAACTTGAGCACCTAGGCTTGTGGCATGTGACTCGCACACCCTGCACTGAGAGGAGGGAAGGGAGTATGGATCCGTAGCTCCTGTCCCTCCTTAGGTCCACAATTCTTGCTGCTGGTTTCCATATTTTTAACCTGCCTTAAGCGAACAAGCCATGCTTATAACATTTAAGTGATGTCTCCAAAGGAAAAGAGCAGCGTGTGGTACACAGATTAGTTTACCTGTGGAAAAGGCTATGCCCAGGCACGTGTTGAAGCCGGTGATGGCCAGGATGTCATCGAAGCTGCCCGCAGCCATGAGTAAGGTGGGGACCCCCTTCTCCACCCCATAGCCTCCCTCCTGCAGAAGGAGCATAGAAGGCACCACCACAGCTGGGGACACAGCGCCTAGGACGAAACTGACACACAGAACTTCAGACATAGGACAGAATCTCCTTCTATTATCATGTTAAAATCCAGAAGAGCCTCTAATTTTTAACCTCCACTCTTTTAAAGGTTAGACTTTGGACAACGATAGTCTTTCAAATGGAGGAATGCCAGTCCAGATACACATGGACAGGGGTGTTCTCTAGAACACTCCACTCCAAAGTCTACCATGGGTAACCTATTTGGGAACCAGATCACCTAAAATAAATATTTTATATTTATGAATGGCATGGAGGAACTAATAGGGTGTTTGGTCCAGGAAGCTGTGTTTGAAACAAAATGTTCGTGTTAGGGCTTTTGAAAACTTGCCATGGACATCTGAACTGGAACCCAGTGACACCGGACCTTCCGTTAGGGCTCTGTATGTGAAATAAGATGCAGGTCCCAGGGAGAAGGCCATGGTGACTGGAAGTGGCACTAGGGACAGCAGCAGCTGTAAGTGAAAGCACCTGAAGGGCTTCCTGCGCACCACCCCTTTGGAACACTTCCAATGAGCTAATTTCACTCTCCCCACAACCTTGTCAGAGAGAGGCTGTGTGTCTTCCTATTACAAGCAAGGACACTGAGGCACAGTGGCACTAACTGCCATGCTAAAGACTCCACCCTGGGAATGGCAGAGCTGGGTGGAGCCCATGCAGCAGAGCTCCCGACTTGTCACCATGAGAAGTGGGAAGTCCTTACTTCCTGCCTCATATCAGTTCCAAACTCCTACTAAGGACTTGTTCATACCCTTGCTGCTTCCCACGGCTTGTCACCACTGGAAGTGAAAAGCTGAGCCGGGAGGAAGGGACAGAAGAACCATGGAGGCAGAGGAAGGCTCTGGTCACTGCTGAATGTGTGGCATCCTTTGTGCAGACTCTGGGGTGTGACCCAGCACCTGTCATAGGCATGGGGTTGGGTGCAGTCCAAAGCCCATGGCCTCCTCGATGGGCTGAATGACCGCATTCTGCAGAAAAGCACTTGCAGAGAGCAGACCCTACCTGGGAGAGGAATACTGAGGCCATGCTGGATTGGCCAGGTCAAGTTTTTTAGTGTCCTTTAAAAAACACTCATATATACACTGTGGTGTGGAATCAGGGAAAGTCCCAAGTGTCACTGCATATCAAAATGACAGAGAAAAGAATCCTTACCCCAGTATAAATCCCCACTGCCATGGCAAACCCATCAGGAAGTGGGAAAGAATGGCGGCTGCACATGCCTCCACGATGCAGGGACCCAGGGATAGACGCACACAGACACCTTTCAGCTTCTGCAGGGCCTGGAGTGTAAGCAGACATCCTGATATGACACCCTCTGTACCCTCACAGAGCATGCGGTGCTCAGCAGCCCCTGCAGCCTTCCAACCACACTCGGCTACAGTGAATTTTCTGGGTACTGTTTCACTTAACAAACATTTCTGCATTCTAAGCATTTTGGAGGCAGCTTGCGTTGTCTTCACAATGACCCAGTGAGATAGGTAATATGATTATCCTCACTGTTTTGGAGGCTCTCCTTTCGAGTTAAGTCATTTACCTAAAGTCATGAAGCTGGTGAGTAGCGGAGCCAGGTCTGCACCCAGCCATGGTTTGCGGCATCTGCTCCGAGGCCACACACTTGCTGACTTAATCGCTCAGCATTAGTTCACTTATGGTGTAGGCCAGGAATGAGGCTCCTGGGGTGAGGAGCATCATTCTCCAAGAATATACATTCCTAGGGCCAGGGATAGCTCAGCAGCACAAGTGCCTGCATGGCCAGTGCAAGGTCCTGAGTTCGATTCCCGATACCCCCGCCCCCCAAAAAAAGAATGTACATTCCTGAACTCAGAGATGTGCATGCAAAGGGCATCAGGAGGAGCCTATTCTGGATGTCCGGCAGTGCGGTCAGCCTCCCGCACTCACACACAGCTTTGCACAACCATCACCTGAAGCATAGCTTGTATCTCCATCAAGGGAACAGCAGCTTTTTTACTGACATTAAGTCCACCTTTCTCTGAGAAAGAATATGGAGACATTGTCTTGCTTCCTGTGAAACACAAGGTGCTCCCTGCAGAACAGCCCTGCAGGAGATGCATCCTGTTTTCTTCTCAAGAATGTCACACAGTGTCCATGTCCTTTCCTGAAGCTAGGGGACCCCAGATGTTTGGGACAGTGGAGGAACACAGTCCCTGCTTAGTAATTAGAGATGCATGCATCTTACCTTTGAGTCCAGCCCAAGGCCAGCGCGCACCAGTATGATAGACAGTGCGATGCTTCTCAGGGAGGAAGACCACCTGTGCTCGATCTGCACATTGTCACAGATGACTGGGATGTTCCTGAGCAGAAACCCAGCCAGCAGCATGCCTGGAACAGCAAAGCCCAATGGGACCAGGGGGTTTTAACAAGAGTTTCCAGCCCTTCACATGTAAAAAGAATGGCTGTAGAATCTTCCCCTATGCTTAGCCTTTGGATGAAATTAAGTTAAACTTTTAATTAACAAGATTAAATAATTCAATGACTTGGAGGAGCAAAGAAATAATTTACAATGCATATAAAAGGAAACATCAGAATAATTAATATTTCCTAAAAAACTGACCATAAAAGGGAGAGACAAGACAGGTCAAGAGAACGATCAAATCCTATACAGAAAATGTTCTCAATGTGAGTTCCACCCCTCCCTTGCACACAAGAGAGACTGGCGACCAGCTCCTGAAATTCCGTGCTTTGCAGGATTTCCTAAAACCTCAGTGAGTGCTTAGCATAGCAGGTGCTTCAGTTCACCCTCACAACCACAGCACTTTACAAGAGATGCACAGCTTACTTTGCAAACACTTTAGAAGTGAATTCCGATCAAATGCACACCATCCTGTTGTGTCAGCTGTGACTTATCCTTTATTCTGTCACTGAGCACTGGCTGATGCCTTCAGGATTTTATTTATTTATTTATCTTTGGTACTGGGAATTGAACTCAGGACCTTGCGCTTGCCAGGCAGGTGCTTGTGCCGCTGAGCTATATCCCCAGCCCTGCCTTCAGGATTTTAGACTCCACAGAGTACTAGAACTCAGTCGACAGACAGCAGGACTGCACCTCAACAAGCTTTCAGCCTCTAGGGCAACAAGACAAGGGAACAACCCCAGTGTATGACAGCACAAGGGTGCTGTATGAATTAAGAAGGGGCAGGGTGGTTGAGGGTAAGGGCAGTTGCAGTGGAAGATGCAGTGGATGGAAGAAAAAGCAACAGCTTTAGGCACTGCAAGCAGGAGCTGAGAGTAAGTGATGGGCATGGTTTGGGAGGGCTCTGCCCTCCTGGTGCCAGCTGCCCACCCCAAGGAGTGTTGTGTCAGAGACCGTGCGGCCCTGTCCTCCACTCTTCTCAGCAGGACCAACTACACCTGTGTCTCGTCAATGCCTCAATCCACATCTTAAAGCTGGACCTGCGTGAGGACAGACACAAAGAATAAGCACAGCCGGGTGTGGTGGCGCACGCCTGTAATCCCAGCACTCGGGAGGCTGAGGCAGGTGGATCGTTGCGAGTTCGAGATCAGCCTGGCCTACAAAGTGAGTTCAAGGCCAGCCTGAACTGCATAGCAAGAGACCCTGTCTCAGAAAGACAAAAAGCAAAAACAAAAAACAACAAAAAAAACACAACAAAGAATAAGCACAGCTTTTCATGCCTTGCTGCAGATGCAGGGCGCATGGAGCCTTGTTTTCAGACAGCTCTCATCACTCCCTTCATCTAGACAAAAGCTTGGAAGGTCTCAGTTCTGCAACCTGGGCTTTCTACAGTGTCTGCTGGGGAACAGTATGAACAGGGCTACAGTTCCTGTTTCTGAAAGGAAAAATGAAAAGAGTAATGTGAGGAGTGAGCAAACCATGATGGTAATTTAAATTAAACTTTTATTATAGTAAATGATACATTGCCACAAATCCCCCTCAAAGTCCTCCCCCTCACTTTAAACACACTTATCCCAGCGTTCTTGCCACTTTCTCCTTCTTCCTTTTTAATTTTTTTCTTTTTGCCACTTTCTGAAGCAGTTCTGGAGTCCTCTTTCCTGAGTGTGTTTATGCGGTGTGATCAAAAATAAGGTGAATGCTGCTGCTTAGTACCACCCAACACAAAGGCAGGCTCACAATAGCATCCCAGCATGGCCTCATCCAGCTCATTCTCCAGATCTTGCATGAAGTGACTTCTCCTTCTTCCCCAAAGTCAAAATGACCATGAAAAGAAAATGTTTTAAATCGATTCAGGACATCAAGGCAGCCACAACAACACATTCAGGAAAGAGGACTCCAGACCTGCTGCAGAAAGTGGCAAGAACAGTGGGGTAAGGGTGTTTGAAGTGAGGGTAAGTATTGTGAGGGCGATTCATGGCAATGTGCTTTTCACGATAATAAATGTTTTAATTTAAACATTCCCCATATTTTCCAAAGAAGTTATAAGCACCCGGTCATATCCCCAGCTGCAAACTCCCGTCTCAGTCCCCTGTGAATCCTCACAGATTGCTTTGTTACTACTTGCCAAATTCCTGTGTCCACAACCACAAAACTGTCTGCAGTTCAATGAGATTTAAGGGGTAGGGGATATAGCATGGCACTTTGGCTGGCAAGCATAAGGTCCTGAGTTCGATTCCTGGTACCAAAACAAACAACAGCAACAACGACAAAGAAGAGATTTAACACAGCTGGACTGAAAATAAATGGGTGTCTACTCCCTGATTCAGCAAAGAAGTCACTCATATTTGTGATGAGCCAGTCACTGTGAATGTAGACCTGTATTTTTCTTTATGTTAATGAGTAAGGTAAAAATGTACCAATGAGAACATATGTCAACATGTCACTCTTGGTCAACAGTATGACTTATAATAAGCAAGGCCTCATTTATACATTCACCAATTTCTGTGTTACAGATACTTCCATCAGAGGTGATTTTAAGGTACTAACATGATGTCTCTGAGTGTGGAACTGGGATAGATGGTCAGTGGCCGCCATGACATGGTGTTCCCATAATCTCAAGGGCATACATAAGGGAAACACGGTAAAATAATGAGGAAGTGATCAGTTTCCAGTATTGATCACTCTTGTCCTTTAATGTAAGTTACTTATTTCTAAGTTTACATAATTTATTTTTTATACATCACTTTTAACAACTAGCTCACAAAATCCCTCAAACTGGACATTTTGCTTTTGTTTCCAGCACAGCAAATATGGAAATATTTCATTTCTTTTTTTCCCCAAAGCTTTCCAAACTACTATTTTAAAAAAATATTACTTACTTTGAAGGAAAGAAAACGTGCTTCTGCACTTACCAAGAAGAGGAGGCAGTGGAGGGAGTGTTGGTAACTTAACAAGCCCCAAAAGTCTTCCTCCAGTGACAGCACAGTAGAACAGAATGATGATTCCAAATAGGTTTCCTCCTGGGAGACATTCACTGCCAGTGATGGACCAAACTACAGCCCACAGAAGGACTGCCATGATGACTGGAATAAACCAAGAAAACCAGTTCCTGTCAAAAACTTGTCAAATACATGTTTCAACATTATCTAAAATAATTCTTAAACACTGAACCCACTGCCTATGAGCAACAGAACATTATGTACTGCAAACATATACCAATAAAAAGAAAAATTTAATAAAAATAAAATGAACATTGCATAGATAAACATTTGTAACTGTGTATAAAGCAGAAGCATCAAGAATATGAACAAATGGGTAATCACCAAGCATTTTAAGAAATAAGGTATCACCAGTCCTTTAAATCTGCCTGTGTGCCCCACCTCACCCCCACCTCCCTTCCTATTGCCAGAAGGAACCGCTACTTTGATTTCTCTTATTTTTCTTTACAATTTTATGACATATTGGCAGTTCATATGAGAAAGTGAAACAACCATTATCGTTACCCTTTTCACAGAAATATGACAATACTTGAACTCCAATCATGCTTCAGTCTTTTAGTTCTAAGACAGATATGATCGCGTTGGGCAAAGGGCAGGTGAATTCCTGGGGCCTTAACCTGTTACTCATTAAAAGCCTGAAGTGTAATTTCTTCTGAGGTGGGCAGGAACCTAAAAGCTGCTTTTGCTAAAACAAACAACAACCACCAGTGATACTTCACGTGGGCTACAGATGCTCAAGGCTATCTGAAAGCGGAATGAAGCTTGACCTTCATTTTGCAGCTGTCTCCTACACCTTCCATCTCTGGATCAGATTCCTGCTCAGATCTTCATGCAGGTGTCGTGGTCACTGAGAGAGCACCTGCTTAAAAGCTGGTAGTACAAGGCTGATTAGCCCAAAATTTATATAATCTATCTCATCCCCTTCAAGACTGAAGGACTCAGGATAAGAAATTTACAGGGACACTGAGTTTCCAGGCGGCATCTAGAAGTCTCTCGTCACTGCCTTAATCTATGGTCATCTTGGATTCCAGCAGTCTCTGCAAAACAGGCTGCCCTGAGCAGAAACAATCATTTCATGGAGCCTGGACCCCCTCCTCCCAAGCAATAGGGACTCACACAGCCTTCCTGCAAACCCAGAACTGACCTCCTGCTTAACTGTACTGGAACCACCTCAGCCATTAGAAGGACTGGCTTCTCTCCTTCGTCCATTGGCCAGGCTGCTCTGCAGTAGAGCTGTACCTCTTCCAGACCCCAGGCTGAGTTCTGTCCCAAGCTTTCTTATTTCTAATTCTGCCTAACAAATCTGCCAGTGCCTCTCTCTGACGGGTCCGGAAATGCTTTTCTGCAATGACACCTCAGGAACCTGCGTGGGCCAGGTTGATGTTCCCATCTCCTTTTTTTAAACTGGTGCATATTAGTGATACAGAATAACAGGATTCATTTTGATATACTGGTACACGTCTACAACATATTTTGATTAGTTTTTATCTCCATTTCTTCCTTCTTTCTTTTCTCCCCTCTCCCCCTAGTCCCCTTACCACTTCCAAAAGTCTACTTTCTAGTTTCGTATTATCTTTTAATTAATTAATTAATTAATTTATTTATTTATATTGCTCACATAAGAGAAAACATGAGCTGTTTAACTAAGACTGGCTTATTCACTTAACATGATAGTCTCTAGGTCCATCCATTTTCCTGTAAATGATTTGATGTCATTCTTCTTTATGGCTGAATAACACCCCATTGTGTATGTATAACACATTTTATTTACCCGTTCATCTGTTGATGGGCATCTAGGTTATTTCCACAGCTTAGATATTGTGAATTATCTTCTCCAAACATGGGTATGCATGCATCGCTAGTGTGCTGTTTTAAATTCTTTCAGGAATATATCAAGAAGTAGTATAGCTGGGTCAAGTGGAATTTTTATTTTTAGTCTTTTGAGGAATCTCCCTACTCATTCCCATAATGATAGTTTATATTCCCATGAGCAGTCCAGGAGGGTTTCTTTTTCCCTACATCCTCACCAGCATTTACTGTTTTTTGTGTTCTTGATAATTCTCACCCTTCTGACGGGGATGAGATGGAATCTTGGTGTGCTTTTGCTTTGCATTTCTCTAATGGCTAAAGATGTAGGACATTTTTTTGCATGCATTTATGGTCATTTATACTTCTTTTGAGAAGTGTCTATTCAACTCATTTGCCAATTTGTTGACTGGATTATTCATTGGGGGTAGTGGCGAATATTTTGTTCTTTATATATTCTAGATATTAATCCTCCGCCTGACGAGCAGCTGGCTAAGAGCTCATCCCATCTGTAGGTTGTCTCTGTTGATTGTCTTTCAGACTCCGTCTCTTCTTTAGGGGGACCTCTTTGGATCCCTTCAGGTAAACACTATCTTTACTTCTTTTTTACAGCGAATGTTTTCTTAAAATTATCCACATACTTAACTTTTTATTTTTGCTTTTTTAAACTTTAATTTTTTTTTTTTTTTTTTTGTCTTTTTGAGACAGGGTCTCACTATGCAGTTTAGGCTGGCCTTTGGCTCAATTTGTAGCCCATGCTGGTTCTCGAACTTGCAACAATCCTTTTGCTTCAGCCTCCTGAGTGCTGAGATTACAGGTGTGTGCCACCACAACTGGCTAAACTTTCAATAAATCATTTATTTGTAAATCAATAAATAATATACATATGCAAAAACCTAAAAATTGAGACAATCATGATTATATTAGTAATCCATAAGCATGTGAAATGAGACCCAATTTGCAGAGCTGAACACAGAATAACTTTTATTGCATTGTTGTCATTTTAATCTGTTTTTCTTTTTTTTTTGTTGTTCGTTTCTGGCACCGGGAATTGAACTCATGACTTTGCGCTTGCCAGGCAGGCGCTGTGCCGCTGAGCTAAATCCCCAGCCCCTTAATCTCAATTATTATTACAATTCTGGTTATTTTCTCTATTTCACTGAAGATTAATTATAACAAGTGGTACATTTTTACCTATATAACATAGCACCAAATATAAATAAGAACTTATGAAAGAGCAGAGAAACTAAGGATTGGTGTTTCAGAGTATCTACATTTTAAATATTAAGTCTTTCCACATTTTCTCCTTATACAAAAGCTACTAAATAAGTTACATTTAAATGTCTGACATATTTCTTGCTTTGATATATGTTCATAAAATCTGTGTTTAGGCTTACATAGCTAGATATTTAAAATATATACTTCTACGGATACGTCCGCTAGTTGAAATAAGTTAGCACAATCATTTGAGTTGGTTGTTAGTATACTGGGCAGGGCTTATTTCTTTTCTTTAGATTCTTTGCACACGTGAAACACGACATAAGAGGTCCTGTTTTGTCATGAACAATGCAACCATTTTTAGGTTGACCTTGGCAAATCACACAAGATTCAACAGCATTAAGGGGATAACTAGATTCCACAACTTTCTTCTTTGTGTTGTGTTTCTTCCTTCTCAAACTCTAACATCTTCTTGGCTGCTGTTAGGAATGTTACTGGAAGTTCATGGCTGAGAACAGTCCTCACTGCCTTGTGGGAGGCTTGTGCGACTTTGTTATTATTTTCATCAACACATGACTCTCTGGAGTCATCTACTGCAATTTTTGGGCCATCAGGCACATTCAAGCCCTCATCCACTTGTGTTAAATGTTCTAATTTAGCTTTCTCAGGAGTTTCCTCTGTATCTTTCCCTTTATCTCCCGGAAGCCAGTCCTCATGAAGGGCCCATCATCTGCTACAGTGTGATGGAAGGGGAGGATTCATTTCGCTGCATGAAGTACACTTTCAACTGTCAGTAAGGAAATTTCAGGATCTTCCTCAAATAAGTCTGCATCACCTTCCCCTGCCTGACACACAGTAACTAGATATACTTCACCATCTTCACCTGAGTTCTTGTCCTTCACTGAGACTATAATCTCCTGAATCAAGAGATTCAACTTCAAATCTACACTGAACTGATCTGAACTGAATCCTGATCCATCCATTCACCTGAATGTTCACTTGTACTACCATCCAGATCTGATCTGATGGAGTCTTTGTCAATTCACAGCTATTCTTTCACAACATATCTCTCTTATTCCACACAGAACCTGTTCCCATAACCCTGGGCCTAGGCTCAGCGATGATTCTTCTCCAGGGCCCAGGCCACTGGGGAGCTCAGACCCACTCAGGGCATCCAGGAAGGAGCCCTCGGGCAAGGAAAGCAGCCGGACCTCCACTGGGGAGGGGGTAGGCGCCAGGGGGTAGGGGCCAGGCTACGCCAAAGACTAGGCTTCTTGCTGCATCTTCCAGTAACATGGGCCACCCATACTCACCTTTTCAAAAAATCATCATTCAGTATGGCATCTCAAACCTTTCACCTAGGACAATTAACTTGATGCAAGAACGATTTCCGTTAGTAAACCTATTTTTGTCAGAATGTGAAATGTTTTTCAAATGATTCACTACTTTGTAAATTTGTCTTACAAAATGATATACTCAAAACAGAAAAGCTCGTGGGAAAGACTGTTGTGGCAAACCCTGCAAAACTCAAACCTTACAACCAAAGCACCAGTAAAAATAAACACAAGCTAGTAACAGTAACAGCACAGCTGAATCTCTGCTGACCTCTGTCTCTCACTCAAATTGTTCTTTGCAGACTTCCTACTTCAGATGCAGATTCATGCAAACATCAACCTTAAATACAGAGCAACCCCATCCAAAATGGACCCACATTACAGCCTTCTCCATCTATCAAAAAAAAAAAAAAAAAAAAAAAAGAACAGAGGGAAGATTGTTGGCAGTTTTTTTTCTTTGTAATGTCTGCTGTTTCAGCCACGTGAGTAGCTGTACTAGGAAGCTCAGTGCTGTGGGACATTCAAGAGCTCTTGATGCACCTACACCAGCTACTAAAGTCTGAAAACAAGCACCTCAATGGAGAGCTCAGTTTTAAAAAGTCGCCATGCAAGAAGGCTTCTGCTTGATTGCAAAACAGTATACATCCAAACTTTTTTGTTTGTTTTCTATACACCTTTCCTTTTCTTGTTATTGCTTAATGCAAAATATGAATATACTAGAACAATTATGCCTCCACAGACACAGTTCCCTATCTGCCATTGCTCATGAGTTACTGTGAGCTATAGAAACGTTCTGTCAGAACTCACGACATTTCTCATGAGGACCTTTGCTACTAAATTGTTTCTTTGTTGTCTGAAATGAGTCTTTATCTTGAAAGAAGTTTTTGTAGGCACATATTAGATTTACCTCAAATGGCTGGTTAAGGATTATTTTCTCTAACTTCATTGAAACTATTATTCATTGGTCTTCTGGCTTTTATTGTTGTAAAGTCTTTTTTTTTTTTTTTTCCCAGTACCGGGAATCGAACTCATGACCTTGCGCTTGCCAGGCAGGCGCTGTGCCGCTGAGCTAAATCCCCAGCCCTATTGTTGTAAAGTCTGATTTGACCCTTTTACAGAATTTTGTTTCTTTGGCTGATGTTACAATCTTCTGTACTGGATCTGCAATTTTAGAGTGTATTTATGTGAGTCTTTTTGGTTTGCTTAGGATTTATGTTTTTAAAACCAGTTTTGGAGTTCTGCCCGTGTTTCTTCAAAGACTTCTTTCTTATTTTAAGAAGGTTGGACAGCCACTCTATTTCCAAGTTGCTAAGCCTAGTGTTCACATTTCACATTTTTGGGTACTGCATTCTGGGAAATCTCTTCAGCTCTACTTGCCAGTTTATCAATTTTATTTTCACTTCTTCTGCTGTCTACTCTGTCAATTGAGTTTTAAATTTTAATTATTGTCCTATAGGTTCTTATTCAGATCTGTAAATTTTTAACAGCTATTTCTTTTGAATTCCTATTTGTTCTTTCCTCTTTAACTTCTTTACATATATAAAAATGCTTTATGGTCTATTTTATACTAATGCAAAATTATAAAATCTCTATTTTTGTTTCTTTTGTGTGTGTTTTAAATTTTTTTCTTTTTTTGTAACAATGAGCTCTCCCTTTACCTTTATCTGTTGGTTTGAATGTGATAAAGTTCAAACTTAGGTTGAATGTGAGTTTTCCAGGTAGGGTCTGCGTTTGTCTCTACCATGTGCTTACAAGTTTACAGCCCAGGACCCCTGGAGATACACACTGGGATGGAGTTTTTTTTGTGTGAATTGAGAGTAAAAATCAGGATAAACTTACTGACTTTTAGTGGAGACTCCCCACAACAGAGACAGGCAGGTTTAGCTGCAGGCCTCCCTGCAGAGCAGGTTCATGTTCAGCTTCCCACCACCCCCGGGGCCAGGACTCAGGGCTTGAGGACTGCAGCACTTTTCCTTTTATGTTCTCACCCCAGGCAGGTGATAGCTCGCCTTTTGTGTGCTCCGATATTCTCAAAATCAGTTTCACGGTAGAAACCTCCAGGGGGAAAGCCAGCTTGTGTGTTTGTTTATCTTTCCTACTTGTATTTGTTTTGGTTTTTGATCACTGTTTTGATAGATCCACAGTACATTTAAATAGGCTTCATATATTGTTTTCAGATATTATTACTGGTTGAGGTGACAGGACTGTTGATTGAACCTCATGTCTTATTGTATTTTAGCTGTCTTATTGTATTTAGCATATCATTCATTTTTACCCTTTATGTCTGTCTTATTAGAAATATTTTGACTAGAAATGTGCCATATTTTAAAAGGTAACAGTTAAAAAATAATAAAAAGTACAGACAAGGTATTAAATTATCTGTGGTCCTAATCATCTGGTGTATATTCTGGAACCAGGTTATCACTGCATGTACTAAATAAAGTTTGAAATTTTCTTCCATGCTAGTTCAGAATCTTACTCGATTTCACTAAAAACACGTTCAGGGTGTAAAGTATAACATATTGTACTTGGCTTTTATTGTCTCAGATGGAAATGATAAAAACATTTTCTAGAGTTCCTAGCTGCAGTTTAGCGGTGAAGAATTGTGCCTCATTTTTCAGTAATAGCACATAGGAGAGACTGTATATTTATTCCAATGATATCATTTCTCAACACAATTTTTGAATTGTCTTTATAGACAATTTTCAAATCCCTTGTCCTTTTTTCTACCATATTCCCCATTCCTTAACATATAGGGGATGATCAAAATATACAATGAGTGGTTCAATTAAAAATGTATTACAATAAAAGACATACGGGCATTCATCCCCCTCAACGTACCCCCTTGGCTTTGAACACACTATCCCATTGTGCGTGCCACTTTCTGAAGCAGCTCTGAGGTCCTCTTTCGCGAGTTTGTTTATGAGGTGTGGTAAAGCATATGGTGAACGCTGCTGCCAAGTGCCACCCAACAGAAAGGCAGGCTTGTAAAAACATCGTGGTGTGCCCTCTTCCACCTTATTTACCAGGTCTGGAACTGTGTGACTTCCGGCTCTTCCCCACAGTCAGAATGACCAGGAAAGGTAAACATTTTAAATTAATTCATGACACTGAGGCAGCTATGACGGTGCAACGAAAGCCACTCACGAAGGAGGATATCGAGAACTGTCCAGACAGTGGCAAGATCGATGGGTACATGTATTGGAAGCAAGGGGAAGTATTCTGAGAAGAACCAATGGCAATGTGGCTTCTACTGTAATAATTTCTAAAAGTATGAACAGATTTTTTAACATAGCTAATACATAACACAAACACAACACACACAGACTCTTCCTTTTTGAACAAAAAGGCATCATTACGCATGAACATCCATTTATTCATCTAATTTATAACACAATAATCTTTGGGTGCCTTCCAAAGCCAAATCTATTCCCTAAAGAAAGATATAACCCAATAGTAAAATATTCAAAACAGAGCTGAGATAAAATTCCCCCCCTCAAATCTTGAAAGTGTTTTTAAAAAATGGCAGCCCTATGGCAGTAAGTTGAGCTGCAAACCAAGGTCTTTACTTGTGAAATGATAGGATCATTTTGAGATAGAAACTGAGCCCTCTTCACTAAAATATTAGTTGAATTAAACAGTAATAGCAGCTAACATGTATGTAAGTGACTTCTCAGACATTTTTTCACCACAGCCCTTAAGTAATTCTGCAGATGTACTCAGGTATACAGAAGCCACAGCCCCTTGGCTTCTATTCCGCCCCTTCTCACGGTCATCATGCAAGCCTCCGGTGAGGACGCTGGGACCCTGTTAGCTGGCCCTTGAGTGGCAGCGTGGCGCAGCTCCCCTACACAGTGTCTGTTCACCCAGTTGTTTTGATGTGAGGGAGAAGTAAAATTCCTCTTGTCCTCTGAACAATATGATTTTGGAATCTCACTGCACATCTGAAAGATCCTGTCCTGCGCCCATCCTTCCTGGTCACCTACCGTTTGTGACGCTTCTGTTCAGTAAGCCACGAGGAGGGCAGGCCAGGGCCTGTCTCAGTCTTTGCAGACAGTTTGAGTCAGGTGGAGCTTCCTGTAGCTTTTCTTCATGGCTGTTCAACAGGTTACTCCCTTCAGTGGGTTCCCTTCCATCTACGCCTCTGGGGTTCATGAATGTCTCCTGTAACTAAAGGAATTGTAAAAAAAATCTTAGAACTGTTGGTCTTCTATGCATCAGTACAGTTGCTGGTTCATCATGTGACAAAGCAAGTTGCTATTACTAGATCACACTTTATAAGGAACCTACAACTTTCATTCCTAACAAATCAGCAAGTGCTTGGAACAACAACTGCATTTGTAGTATTTAGCACCAACCTAATCACAACTTTAGAATTAGAAATGCTGGAGTCCCATACAATAAACATAACATCAGTTTTGCAGCACTGTACTGGGTTTAAGAATTGACATAGTTAACAGAGAACTCAGCATAATAGCCAGTACATAACCAAAGTGGCTCAGGAAAACATAACTCTGTGTTCAAAGCCAATTCACATTCATCCCTCTTCTTGAATAGAAGCAACAGGAAGAGGGAAGAAACTCAGAGCATCCTAGGGATTAGGCCGGGAACACCACCCAGCTCACAGGCTCTCCGTTCTGTCAGCCTTAGGTAAGAAGGTGCTGGCAGCCTTGGGTGGAAGAGCTGGAGGTCCTGAGCTAGGGGCTGAAGAGTGGGGAGAACTGTTAGTTGAGAGGAAGACAGCACAGCTGTTAAGCGTGGGAAATGATAGTAAAGGAGTGGCTATTTGGGGCATTTCACCCCAGCTTTTACCTGTGCTCCCTGATGCCCAGCGGCTGTGCAGTTCATCTCTTTGGATGGTTCCAAATCTTCACATGGCACGGGTTTAACTTCGTCCCCCATGACTTGTGATTACAAAGAAGACAATACAGGAAGTGCAGCGGGATCTGTTTTGAAGAAGAAACAATAAAGATAGAGCCATAACCTGAAAATCTTTGGAAGAAAATTGTGCTTTTTTCTTCCCTCAGAACTCTGAGTCAGGTGTAGTGGCACATCTCTGTAACTCCAGGACTCTGGAGGCTGAGGCAGGAGGGTTGCCACAAGTTGGAGTCCAGCCTGGGCTACATAGTGAGGTAAAGGCCCACCTGAACTACACAGCAAGATCATGTTTCAGAAAACCAATAAATAAATGAAAAAGAATTCTAATATTTAAAATACTTTATTATTAACTGTTTTATTCCACAATTGTGGTGTGATTAAAAAACATGGTGAATGTTTAAATTTTTAAAATTTATTATAGTAAAAGACATATTTCCATTAATCCCCCTCACTTTGAACACACTGCAACATTCTTGCTATTTTTTTTTTTTTTTTTTTTTTGTGGGTACTTGGAATTGAACTCAGGACCTTGCCAGGCAGGTGCTGTGCTGCTGAGCTATATCCCCAGCCCTCTTGTTACTTTCTGAAGCAGATTACAATTTACATTCACAGCAATTTCATTCAAATAAAAACCTTATATTGTGTTCTCATCCAATTTGGACCTGACACTGTGTGGCTTCTGGCTCTTCCCCAAAGTCAAAATGACCAAGAAAGGTAAACTGTTTTGAATCAGTTCAAGACACTGAAGGAGGCAGGACAGTGCAACTAAAGACACATAGGAAAGAGGACTCCAGAGCTGCTGCAGAAAGTAGTAAGTACCATGGGATATATGTGTTTGAAGCAAGGAGAGGATTTTGAGGGGGGTTCATAGCAGTATGTCTTTTACTATAACAAATTTTTTAAAAATTTAAGCATTCACTGTATTTTGTGATCACACTTCATATTATATTCATCTTACCTTTTCACTTGTCTTGAAAAAATCCTCATTGATGAATCATTTTTTACTTTCTTTCCCACCCTGTTTTTTGAGTCATACTCTGAAACATCTGAGCAATCTCACTACCTAACTGTCCTCTGGAGCAGCAAGGCTCCAGGGAACTTTCCAAAGCTGATGTGAGGAATGAGTCACTGAAGGGAAACCTCTAGACTCCATCATTTTCAGAGAAACCAGCATCACTAACTCCTTCCTGGTTCTTATTTCTAAATAGTGTTAAAAAAATAACACCACTGACGAATACCCACAGTATCTTAGGTCCTGTGGTAGGTGCTATGGTAGTCTCTTGCTAGGGGTCGTTATGGGCAATTTTTAGGTTGCTAAAACATGCCCTCTATATTCCATAGACTTACAGTATACCAGGAGAGAGAAACTTATACCAAGAAGGTGTAAGGCAGACTACAGGTTCACTCAATAAATGCCCATATTAACCCCTCCTCCCTTGATTCCTGTGCTGTAGAGGATGAGAAGCCAAATACTCCAATCCCTGGCCACTGCTGCAGCTTGTGGGGGCCATTTGACACAGTTCTGTATGAGATGTAGGTGGGAGTCCCTAGCAAGGCCTTTGAAAGAGCGTACTCTTCTTTCTTTGCCCTCCAGCATTTCCCTCTCTCCTTCCTGGAAGGCAGATACAGTGCCTGGAGGAGCAGCAGCCACCTTTCAACCATGAGAATGGAAATTCTATACTCAGGACAGGGGAGGGCTCAGACAGGAGGACTGGTCTCCGGGAACACCTTGGAGCAGCTGCAGCAGTCCTCCACTGCTGGACAAGGATGCAATTGTTTAAGCCACTGTTCTCATGTTTTCTTTTGGCTAGTACCCAAATTCATCCCTCGTCTCACTGGGGCAATGAACATTACGGTACAGGTAAAAGAAAAACCCTGCAAATTTGAATAATCGAATAAAAATTATAAGAGAAAAATGAATCCATGGTTAATATGTGCAGACATTATGCTAGGCCACAAAGTCAAAGATGAATTAGACAAGATCCCCTTCCTCAAGAAATCATTTACTTAGTTTAACAAAAAGTGCAAGAGGTTTGTGTTTAAGATGTCAAAGAATTCCATGACGTTATATGACCACTACTTCCTTACAAAACACAATGTTAACCAGAGCGAGATCTCACACAGCTGTCAGTTTTGATTTTAACTCTATACGAAATATAAAATGTGAGAACAAAATAACTCGAAATTTATGACCATACTGTTGTCACATGTGGCAGCAACTATTTTCTGTAAGGTGAGCAAATGAACTCCCTTTTATGAAGCTGGTGTGAGATGGTTTCACGTCACTTGTCACCAAATGAACCCTCAGTTACAACATCCACACTTGTGCTGGACCTGAAGGATAACAGACAAGAAGAAAGGTGGTTCTGAATCTTCAAGCCAATCAACAGACAAGATATGACATATGTGGACCAGCTGTGTGTCACTGGGACAACATACCTGACAAAGAACTGAAAGGAGGAAACCATAAAAGTTTCAGAGATTCCAGTCCATAGTAGGGGCCTCACTGCTTTTAGGGCTGTGGTGAGGGAGAAACATGAGGGCGGAAGGGCGTGGTGAGGGAAAGCTGCTCACTTCCTGGCAGGCAGGAAGCACAGGGAGATGGAAAGAGCCAGAGAGCGAGGGACAGACAGAGGGAGGGAGGGAGAGGGGAAGAGAGTCGGGGAGGATGAGGTTGGGGGAGGGGGAAAGGTGAGGGAAGCGGGAGGGAGAAGGGAGAGGGAGAGAGACAACACCTGAGGCCCACATACTTCTTGCCCATCCAGCGAGGAGCTCCCCAGTGGATTAACCCTTGAGCGCCCGCTGGTCCTGCCACCTAGCCAGGCTGTGCCTCTGAACACTGCTGCACTGGAAATGAAACCATTAGTACAGGAGACCTCGGGGGAGACTTCATAGCTGAATGTAACAAATGGGAACATTTTCTGTTTTAAAAGAAATGAAAATATATGATACAATATACAGATTTTCTTTACAGGAAATGTTAAAGTAAAAAATTTGGCAGTCAATAAAATAGGTGTCAGTTATTCACAAAAATTAAGTACAATGCGTGATTTTTCAATGCTGCTAATTAAATGCCATCCTGAGTTTTCCCTGTTTTCATGGAAGTTTTTAAAATCCAAACATAAACTTTTTCCTTGGGCCCAGAGAAGGTTCAAGAAAGCTGCTAGGGCTGATTGAAATGTGGTAGAAATACAGAGAAAATGGATGGTTTCCATGTAACCAAGAATCACAGGTCAATGGAGCAGTAAAATTTGAGAACACTTGTGTAAATTAGAAAGTCCTGTCCCTTTAACATTCACATGAGAAAACTAAGCTGGCTGCGCCACACTCCTCTAATCCCAGATACTTAGCAGGCTGACGCAGGAGGAATGCAAGCTTGAGGCCAGTTTGGGCAGCTCAGCCAGACCCTGTCCCAAAATAAAAAAGGGCTGGACATATAGCTCAGCACTTAGTAGCAATAAAAACAAAAAAGAAAAAACAAGCCAGCTACAGCCCACAGAAGCTAAATAGCTTTTCTCAGAAAACATAGCCAATATCAGTCATGCTTAAGAGGAGAACCATATAAACAGTTGTGAAATGAGATTTCCACCCAATCAGTGTATTATGCTTTTACAGTCTCTGCTATTTTTGTTTAAAAATCTCACTTGTCTGTATCCATATTCAATTGCAACTTTGAAAACATATTCCAAAAGCAAATATCAATAATTTTATTTTCTACTTTGTGTTATCTTCAGTTTTACTTTTTTTTGTTGTTGTTTTTTTGCCTGGTACCGGGAATTGAACTCACGACCTTGCGCATGCCAGGCAGGTGCTGTGTTAGACAGGCGCTGTGCTGCTGAGCTAAATCCCCAGTTTTACTTTAAATGGTAAGTTTATAGAAATCATAAATCCAGCCAATAACATGAATTCGATCAAATTTTCTGTTAAGCCTCTTAACAGGGAAGTGGAATTTGAGTGGTAAGAGTTTTCATTTTTCTTTTCTGTATTTCTGTATCATTGAGATTTTTATAAGACGTTCTTTTGCAATTTTAAATACATTTAATTGAGAATAGTTAATGATTATTCAATAGGTCACTCATGTATAGCTCTATTTATTTTCTTTAGAAGCCACTTGAAGATACCAAAGTATAGTACAAAAACTATTGGTAATCTCCTACCTCTTTTGTCTGTAACTCACTGTTATTTGTCTATTTGTTTTCCTGAGAAACTATCTTGTAGATAACAATATGTAAAACAATAACCATTGATAATTTCCTACCACTGTAATTTGGTAAGCATCCCCCATTATTATGTGTTATCCTTCTTTTACTCTTTAAAATAAAAAAATTAAATATATTTAAAAAGACAATCTGTGCAATTCTTAGCTTTAGAGAAAAGAAAGTGATACAGATTTCCTTGGTAATGATATTGTTCCTAGATGGATGTAGTGATTTTATTTTGGATAACATAATTCCACTTTCCACAATTTAAGATCATTTTTATTTTCTTTTTGTGGCCTTCAAAGAAGATGGGGAAACTTCCTAGAATCTTCTACAGAAGTTTTCAAACACTTTTAACCCAAAAAGTTTCCACCAATTGAAGCTTTATCTGTAAATTCAACAAGTGGGACGAAGAGAGGCAGAGCTACAGGATCTGTGCCCATTCACCCTCGTCCCCTGGCAAGGGACCCATGCCTTGGAAACCACTTCTATAAACAGTCCTCCACACAGAGAGCTGTGTTAAATCACCCTTCTCTATTTCAGTTCATTCTACCAATCTAATGGTTTAACGTGCTTTCTGAAGTAGTTCAGAGGAAATAAAAGGTCTATCAACTTACAAATGTTCATAGGCTCTTGGTCAAGTAAAATACACTCATTATTATCAATTAAAGACATTCATAGTCTTTACTGTCTCTGTTACTGTTCTCTGTTATTGCCTGGGGTATGGGCAGGCCAACATTTAACGGGGTAACCTACTGAGAATATGCATACATTGCTTGCTATCCATGAATGTATGTTCCTTCCCAACTTCAGATGTTGGAACTTGACCTCCCAGGAATAGCATGGGGGTTTGGGGTGGTTAAGTCATG